GCATCTAAAATAACTATATTTTAATTCTCATGAAAATTTAGCCAATAGTAACAAAATTTATAGTAACGACTGTTAACACGAGTTAACAGTCCCCGTGGCATAGTGGTAAGATGCTCGCCTAGCGTTTCGTGAGCGCTTTGGCCTGGATTCGTATCCTGACCAGGGAGGATTGACTGTAAACAGATCCTTAACTGTAGCCTCTGTTTACCTAACAGTAAAGTGGATACCTGGTTGTTAAATAATTTGGCGAGTCATATTCCGAGGAATATTAGGTTGAAGGACCTGCTTGAAACACTATGCGTGCTAATGGCCGTACAAGAATGTAAGAACTCTTGTATATTTAAATAAATAAATAAATAAATTGCAGGAGCAAACGAAGACGAAGGACAGAAGCTACAGCGAAACACCTTCCTCTTTCTTCTTACTACGTCTGAAATTACTTTGTTTAAATTCTCTTAAAAATACGATAGTAACGAAGTTACAAGAGCAAACTATTGCAGAGGGCAAGAGCTGAAACCCAACAACCAACCCCTGTCTTCTTAATACGCCCAAAAATCATCTGTTTTAAATCTCGAGAAAATGGAGTTGGTAGTAATGAAATTACAGGACCAAATTAAGGTGGTGGACAGGAGCTGGAACTTGGTAACTAGGTTTAGTCCCTTGACTTCATCTCGCTGGTAAATCTTTAAAATTTTATGAAACTGTGATGAATAATAATGAAAATACAGGAGTGAACTAAAACAAAAGATATCAGATCAAACCCAACAACTAGCCCCTTTCTTCTTCCTGCATCTGAAATCAACATATTTACAATTTCAAGAAATTTTTGCAAATAATAACGAAATTACACGAACGAACTAAGGCGGAGGACAGGAGCTGAACCTAGCTCTTTGATCTTAATGTGTCTGAGAAACGATGGTTTTAAATATCTTGGAAATACGATAAATAATAAAAAAATTACTCCTCAAAACATCTAGAGCCAAGCCCAAGAACTAACGTCTGAAACTATTAATTACATCACACGCTCCGTATTAACATATTCTCTGAATATTGACCCTATACGACCCCAGTTACTTTCTAAATACTGTGACGGAATGAAGATGATTTTTCTAAAAAAAAAAAAATGGCTATGGCATCATTCCCTCTAATCACATCATAATTGGGAATATAGAATCAAAGACCCTATAAACAGTACTGACTAGGAAGTATTACCTAGACCGCATCATGAAAATAATCTGCAGTTCTGCCCTTGAATTTTGAAAGTGACGAAGATCGGTAGACAATTACACAGAATAACAACAAAAACAAGACAAATACAATTAGTAAACACTCAAGAACACGAAATAGTAATTACAAAATAAAGTACAAGCCTGTGCAGTAGCACAGAGCGTTCTTAGAATGCAAGAAAATGAGTCCAGTATCAATATTTCTCTCACCCTTTTTTTAAGCTTCGAACCGATATGATTCCACCTGACCTACCGATGGCGATTTTACAACTTTTGCCTGACCGATAATGCGTAAGGCGTCCATATATGAATATACTCACGTGTGTGAGGATGCACGCTGCACCCAAAATTAAAATTTTAATAATTTTTTTTCCTATTATTTTTTAAAAAGTGTCCCAACGTCTTTCCATTTTCTGTGATGCCCCATTTGGCATCACGGCACCGCCACCCAAGTAGTAGGACCATTGTTATTTATTTAGAGGCCGCTGTGGCGTAAAAACGTGTGCCCGTTCTGGTTATTTTTCCTCAGCTATATTGGTTGGTGCCTTTATAAACACTCTACGTTTATTCCAAGATGGATAGTGATCAAGAACAGAGCCAATCCATGACGAAAGCAAGGAAAGAAACACGATGAAGCAAACTCTCATTGCTCCAGCTCCACGAAGTAATAAAGTGATCGCTGTTGAACTTTGAGTATAAGAATTGGTCTCTCCAAAATGACAACAACATACATGCTGGTGACGTACATGATGAGGAGAGCAGATCTACTGGAGGAAATGTTGCAGCTCCCGGATCATCAGGTGAGGCGGCCACTCTTCCCTTCTTCACCTTGAAATGAAGAATCATCATCTGACTGAGGAGACGAGGTTCAGACTACTCCTAGTGATGCTGCTGCTGCTAGGAGAAGACCTCCTATTGAGGATAAACTCGAACGTCTGAACAGAAAATAGAACCATTCCCTAATGCACATCGATAAAGATCTGAAGCGTCGTGTCTGCTACAAATCTGGTAAAAGGAAGAACAGCAGGTATAAGTGCAAGTGGTGTGGTGTGGCACTGTGTCCTGCACCATGCTCTGGTTTGTACCATCACAAGAGGACATACTGGGTGGATAAGCTGTAATGCTTACCTACCATCCACTCCACCTATGAAACATGGGATGAGAAACTTCAGGAAACATTTTCCTGGAGCAGGTGGAGTAGTACAACCTAATGCTCAACTCATGCTCTACAAACATCATTGGGCAGAAAGGACAGACATGTTTATTATTTTTTTATACATATGATATTGTGGTACAAACACTTATGTGAAGGAAGCAAGACAAAAACGAATGAAATAGTGTAACAAATAATGTGGGAGAACAAATAACAAGTATATATAATGAGGAAAAAACGTTTTTTTCCACGTAACAATGTAATTTATTCCTATAGTATTGGTAAAGTTGTACCTCCATTTTCCCTGATATGCATATATCCCTCTAGAGCCTTCTATTGCGAACAAATTGATACCAAAATGAGCGACGTAACACGAAAATTGCGGTGAGAAAACTGAAAAGAGTATAAATATTTTAGTGTAGGTGCGTGCTGATGGGAAACGCTTGGCTGACCTTGGGATGTGCTGGGGGCGCCTGCCAAGGCAGTGTTAATTTAAGTATGGGGGAGGGGGGGGGTGTAGAAATAGCCTAAGCTACTCTATCCCTTTGAGATGTATTTTATTGTCTCAGTAAACGTACTTAAACATCATTTTGAAGTGTTAAATCCAGACCAGCAAATATTCCAAATCATGTGTGTGAAAATATTACCAACAAAGAGTTAGTTTGCATTACAAGGCTACATTTATGATTCAAACAGTAGGATAAAGGGGTTTGAAAATAAAATACAGACCTTGTATGAAACATCAGTATAAATATTTTCCAAATATAGACAATAGTTATATAATATACCATAACCATTTTATGTTGATCTCTTAAAATGTAACTCGATTACTTTCATTCGTAGAATTAACTGGCGAATCAATGCCTACAATCTCATTAAACTTAACATTTCTTTTAAGTGCAATCTACCTGTCTCTCATATTCCTCTTCATCTGTACCCCACCATTTAAGTATCATACAAACATGTCACCAAGAAAGATAATGAGAATCTTGCTCTTCTCAAAGCTGTCACACTCGAAACAATTGCCTCCTCCATCGAGAATTTATGATCTCACGAGCACTGTGTCTACACCGACGGCTCAGTCCAATCTTCTACTGGACGGACTGCAGCAACATGTAGGTTTTATAAAAATAATATTTACACAAAGACGGTCAGTGTTAGGTTAATCAACTGGCTGACCTCCACACAAGCAGAACTAGCGGCATTACAACTATCTACCACCAGTACATTAAAAAACATTGGAGGATGAACAATATTTTGTGATTCAAAATCTGCTCTTCAAAGCAATCGAAAACTTCTCCTGAAGATCGACAGTAAGAACCTCATAGTACCAATTATAAAGGACCTAATCGCTGCAAAGAGCAAAGACTCTCGAATATCCTTTGTATGGATACCATCACAAATAAATGTAACCCATCATAATGAGACAGACATTGCAGCCAAATTAGCGTGTAACAAAGATGAAGTTGAATTAAATCTAGGTATTCCCATCTCTGCTGTCAAAACTAAATTGGTCCAAACACTCAGGTCTGATAGGAAAGAAATTACTGACGTCCAAAGACCTGAAAGCACTAGTATAAAAAACTATGATTTGTTCAGATCTGAAACCTATATATATGGGCAGCACAAAACGTCCACCAGACTGTGCGACATAGTGGTTGCCAGGATCAGATTGGGTTACCGTTTCCTGTGGCAGGTGGCTACAGGTGACGGATCTCCCAATCCTGAGCACTCTAGGTGCAAATTCTGTGAACAGGAACTGCAGCATGATCTCCCAGACTACACCACTGAATGCCCGGTTATTAGACCTTTCAGACTAGTTGGCATGAGGTACCTGGAGCTTTGCAATTACTTTATTCACTCTCGTGTTCTTGAAGATATCCCCATTGTGTACCCAAAATTTGCCAGTGCAAGCTACTGAACATATGGCCCCGTATGACTAACTATCTTGCGAGCTGGGGATTTTAGTATCACTGCTACCTTATTAACTTTTGTGTTCATGATATCCTCATAACGAACCTAGAGTCTGCCAGTGCAGACTACTTATCACATGCCTCTGTATGATTAACCATCCTGTGTGATGGGAATTTTTTAGCATCACGTAGCTAGCTTTTTGACACACTGTATTCCCCCTTCATATAGTCTAGTGTAGCTTCTCAAATGCAGATGTACCTAATGTATTAATGAAAAAAATCCTGGCACAGTGCCGGACTCAAAAAAAACTCTCTTTTATCTGAAATGTCAGGCGCAAACATGAGTGTAGAGAAGTAAATAACTCGTGCTATTATTGAATTAATTTCCTTGAAGTGTGTGTAAAAAGAGGGTAGTAGAGGAAGAGGAAAGAACATTCTCCTTACGTTATTTATCCAGTTCTGCAGTTTTTCATCGAAATACGTTAACTATTCCATAAAAGTAACCCCCACAAAAAATCAAACTGCGAGTTTTCAATTTCTGTTTTCAATATGACTGTCAGTCTCTCTCTCTCTCTCTCTCCCTATCTGTCTCGTACCTTCCTCCAATAAACTTGGCGAAACTCTAACGTGAGTATTAGGCCCTTTAACGTCGTCAGAGTTAGTGTCCATAAGAGCATCATTACCGTCTTAACAGCCCCCTAGACCTACCTGCACGTTCATGACCGCTGTGTCTTCCACCAGCAGTACGAACCGCTGTGTTGGCTGGCGTATGAAGTGTATCTGAGGTGGTCTGGACGGCGCCTGCCTTGGTGTACTCCTGTGGGAAAACAGTTAAGGACGTGAATAAAACATGTTAAGATAAAGCGTAGTGAGAAACAGGAATTTGTAGTTGCTTAAAGAACCCATGAAATGACTTATTGCTCAGACATGTGTTTGGTTCTTTCTAAATTAATTTAGTAGCTAGAGGAAACATTTATTTATAAACTATTTTTATTTTTATTATAGTTACCAAGAGCGTTAGTAACCCTGGGTGTGAAAGTATGGGAGTGGAGCCCTGGGAGTGAGAGTATTGGAGTGGAGCTCTGGGGGTGAGACCCGAGCCCGCAAATTTGATAAGTGGATGTGCATGGGAGTGAGTGTATGGGAGTGGAGCCCTGGGAGTGAGAGTATGGGAGTGGAGCCCTGGGAGTGAGAGTGAAGCCCTAGGAGTGAATGTAAGCATCTTATAGCTTCGTAATTACAATTGTTGGAACCTATTTGGTATAGGTAGGTGACTGAGTACGAAGGAGTGGAGCCCTGAGAGTGTTTTCTAAAGTATGGGAGTGAGAGTGAAGCCCTGACTTATTAGAGTGAAAGTGGGGGTGGGAGTGGAGCCCTGGTAGTGAGAGTATGGGAGTGGAGCCCTGGGAGTGAGAGTTTGGGAGTGGAGCCCTGGTAGTGAGAGTATGAGGAGTGGAACCTTGGGAGTGAGAGTATGGGAGTGGAGCCCTGAGAGTGAAAGTATGGGAGTGGAGCCCTGGTAGTGAGAGTATGGGAGTGGAGCCCTGGGAGTGAGTGTATGGGAGTGGAGCCCTGGGAGTGAGAGTATGGGAGTGGAGCCCTGGGAGTGAGAGTATGGGAGTGGAGCCCCTGAGAGTAAGAGTATGGGGTGGAGCCCTGGGAGTGAGAGTATGGGGGTGGAGCCCTAGGAGTGAGAGTATGGGAGGGGAGCCCTGGGAGTGAGAGTATGAGAGTGGAGCCCTGGGAGTGAGAGTATGGGAATGGAGCTCTGGAAATGAGAGCGGTGGTGAGGAGCAGTAGGAGAGAGAGTAGGGTATTAGATCCCTGGGAGTTAGACTAGAGGTGTGAGATTGGTTGTGGAGTCCTAGGAATGAGAGTTGGGATATGGAGCCTTGGAAAAGGAATACAGGTGATGAGCCCTGGAAGTGACTGAAATGATGAGGAGCCCTGTGAGTGATATATATAAATATATATATATATATATATATATATATATATATATATATATATATATATATATATATATATATATATATTGTGACGGTAACGCGTTGGTGTTCGGCTGTTTAAGGCTAGGGGTATGGCCTCGTCACATAGTTATAAAAAAAATAGAAAAACTGGAACTTCGTCTGTGGTAAGGTAAGGAGAAGACACACAAAACACAAGTAATCTTTAACAATGAAATTTTAATTACGTTAAATAAATCAAACATGAAAAAATGGACAAACAAATTCTTATAATAAAATCAATCAATCAAAATAATAAGAATAATTAAATGACACAATGAAAAGTTACGGTAAGATAAAATAACAAGAAGTGCAACACAAAAGTAAATGGGAGGTGCTGGAATATTGGCTTTAAGCTATCACCTCTCTCAGTACACGCTAACGTCTAGCCGGGAGGAGTGATAACTACGAAAGCACTGAACATTCTGAGGTCTGAGGTCGTGGCGACCCCAGACATCAAGTAGTATGGGGGGGCGAGTGCAGGTGCAGCCAGACCGGCGACCAATCAGCGGGGCCGGTAGCGATCAACGAGTAGTTTGGCGGTTTGAGTCTGAACAGGTGTCTCTGGCTGCAACGTTTTGCGCTCTGGCAAGCCTTGCTGGTGTTGTTGTCGTTGTTGGACATTTCTTCCATAGTAGTTTTATATAACCACAACGACGTAATTGTGGAGGGAAGAGCAGGCTCAATCTCTTGAAGGAGATTATCGTCACAATATATATATATATATATATATATATATATATATATATGACTCGTATTCCTAGGGGCCGGGTTCGATCCCCGGTAAAGGTAGAAACAAAATGGGCAGAGTTTCTTTTACCCTGATCCCACTGTTTACCTAGCAGCAAATAGGTACCTGGGAGTTGGACAGCTGTTACAGGGTGCTTCCTGGGTTTGTGTGTATGTGTGGAAAAATATAGTTAGTAGTTAGTAACAGTTGACTGACAGTTGAGAGGCGGGCCGAAAGAGCAGAGATTAACCCCCCCCCCCCCCGCAAGAACAACTAGGTGAATACACACTGGAGGGGTACCCAGCCGTTCCCTGGATAGTCTTTCTCTCCTAAAATCTCCCATTCCACCCCTTTCCCCTTTTTCACTCATCAACACTGCACTCCTCTCTCCTTTTACTCCAGTTTTCCACCCATCCCCTCTTCTCTTCTTCTATCCCTTCCTCCTTCCTCGCCTCTTACTACCCATCTCCCTAATTTCCCCCTTCAACCCCCAACATTAAACAGACAGACATTTACATTTATTTCTTTATATAGGGGGGAACCCGGGGTTGCCAGGGTCTATGTTTGTCTCCTACACCCCATCACCCCTCTCCCTTCTTTCCACCCTCTCTCCTCCCTCTTTCCTCCTCTACCCCCTTCTTTCCATTATTTCAGACTGCTCCTCGCTTTTAACGTTACACAAAAAAAGGCGGAAAGTAGCGAGGAAGACAGGAGGAGGCAACAAGGAAGAGAGAGGAGCGAAGGAGGGACGTAGATAGGAAGAGAAGAAGATGGTACAGATTATAAGGAAAGTGACGAAGGGAGGGAGCATGACAGAGAAATGGGAAACAACGAGGAAGAGATGAGGGAGTTAGCGGGGAAAAAAATAAGTAATAGAGAGAGGAAGCGAGGAAGGAAGAAAGAGAGGTAGCGATGATGAGTGAGCGGTAGCTATGTGGAGAATTAGGAGGAAAGTAGGAAGTGAGCAAGGCAAGAGGATGAGAGGAATAAGAGAGACAGAAGGAGACTGTGAAGGTAGGAAGGTAGCCCTAGACGTTACCAACACTTCCTTGGTAAAGTTAGAAAGTACAAGATGAAACTCTGTACCAAAACTAATCTTCTCAACGTCCAAACCATTTAAACTTAAGGTGCTGCAAAATTCTTTAATTTGTTGTCTACAGAAGATTGTCGCATGCAAGAAGTACTATCTAAAGGCACCCTAGGAAGGTTCTGAAAGCTTTTAATTTGCTTGAGCATTCAAAAGATCATCGAATTTTATACAAAAAATCCTGACAAAATATTTAATAATATTGTCAACCCTTCAGAAATCTGTCCTCTCCTTTTACCATATAAGAGTTAAAAAGATAATAAACACGTACTGATTTTAGGGTGGATATTGTTTTACTCTTAAATAAGCAACGCTGTTCATCCGCTGGAGTTATAAAGAGCCTCACGAGTACAGTCACAGATGCTGGGGTGATAACGTACGCTTGAGTGATAATAGACCATTAGAAGCTACAGCGAATAATACCTCAAGATTCCTACGCACGTACTCATGGACTAACAAACGCACACATGAACATAATTTAAAGGCAATTTGTCGTGCAGTTCAGTGTCATGCAGTTTTGTAATGGTCTTTGTCTGCTTTTTCTCTGCCACATGTTTAATTCGCTACAGTCTACCCAGGGGAAGAAGCTTCTACCGATGCCTTTCACACTGGATCAAGCTTTGGATGTTTTCGCTTTAGATCTGGGACCATGTCCTTGGGGCAAAATGATATGACAATAGGTCAGCCCTGTTCCTGCTTACTGGTTGCCACAGTTCCATCTCCTCCGTTTGGTAGGGGGATTATGTCACCAGAGGCTCTCTCTCTCTCTCTCTCTCTCTCTCTCTCTCTCTCTCTCTCTCTCTCTCTCTCTCTCTCTCTCTCTCTCTCTCTCTCTCTCTCTCTCTCTCTCTCTCTCTCTCTCTCTCTCTCTCTCTCTCTCTCTCTCTGTACGTCACACTCTCTCTTCACACATTTTTCACTGTTGTATACTTTTTTTTCCCATTTTTTCGCCCATTTAATGCCTTCGTTTCAAATTATCTTCATCTCTCGCTGTATTTTGAAATCTTTCTTTTTTATGAAGATTTTTTTCCCCTTTCCCTTTTCTCTTTCATTTCTCTCTCCCCTCTTCTCACTATTCTTTCTAGTTTGTATGGCCTTTATTTTCTCTTCCACTCTTTTTTTATGGCCTTATTTTCTCTTCATTTCCCTACGTTTCTTAGTGGCTCCTCAGCATCACAGTGAGAGAATCTTCTGACGAGACGAATGTAGAGTGTCTCTTTCAGTAGCCGTTCTTAAATAGCGCTGAGTGTTTGGAAATTTATACTTGATCCTGGAATACGGCGATAATTACTCGACTCGGGTGTCCTAATAAATGAAATTTTTTGTTGTATAGGTTAACTAAATATAATATAAATGGGTCAAATGTAGAGAAAATAGTAGGGCTATAGAGCTAGTAGGTAGAACATATTTTTTTGTTTCCTAATAATAATTGTATCTAAATTGTGCCGTTCCTTTTCATTCACGTGTATTATTCAACGATATTTCATTGTGTTCTTAATATTACTTTTCCTCACATAATTTTACGGAATATTTTATAAGTTAATTATAGGTGAACATCAACGTGAAATTACGTTCAACATTTGGTAGTCATGACGACTGGCCGGACACCAGTGTTACTGAGGAGTGTTCTGGGAGGCTGTGTGACTCTCCGTCAGCACTCTTATACTAGTTTGTTCTCCTTTCTGCGTATTTACATCTGTGTCTGCAGGATTAAGCTGTTAGATCTTGAACCTCGTTTTTCTAATCGTTGGTTGTCAAATGTATTGACTTCCGATCTATTTCTTCTATCTACATTTCTCTCTAACACACACACACACACAAACACACACACACACACACACACACACACACACACACACACACACACACACACACACACACACACACACACACACACACACAGGATTAAGCTGTCATGCAGAGTGCCCAAATGAGCCACAGAGATATTAGAAAGAACTTTTTTAGTGTCAGGGTGGTTGACAAATGGAATGCAT